TCTACAGTCAGTGGTGGGATTCAAATATGTGAACAATCGGTTCTCTGTGTGGATGCTGCTTCCGGATGTCCATTCTGGGCCTGGGCAACAAAGAATTAGCTACCGGTTCTGCCGAAGTGGTGCGAACTGGCTGAAATCCACCACTGTCTACAGCAGGGATGTCAAACTCAATTTCATAGAGGGCTGCATCAGCATTGCGGTTGTCCTTGGGGGGCTGGGTAGGTGTGGCCAGGGTGGGCATGGCCTACTGGGTGGGCGTGGCTGGAGTGGGTGTGGCCTACTGGGTGGGCATGGCCAGCTCTACATCATTTGTGTCAAGGGTGCCTGTGGGGGCCTGGGCAGGAGTGGGACAGATCTGAGAGTCTTTGGCACAAGGGGGTGGGACCAGGGCAAGCACCAAGGCATGGTCCACTGGAACAGCCTGCTGAAACCCCAAGCTGGATATGTGAAGTAGGCGAGGGCCATTTGCTGGCCACTTCCAGGCGATGGTGCATTTCTTCATTCCTCACAATGGGTGACACCTCCCAGCATGCACCCAAGGGGCAGGGCCGACATGGCAGGGGCTGGTTCCTCGCTGTTTCCAGACGGCCTTGTGGAGCTAAGACTGAATGCGTTTCAGCATAGATGGCCACCACAAAATTGTACATTGGCTCTCGGCCAGCTTGGGCCAGGGCCAAGGCAGCGGGGGCCGTTCCCTCACTGTTTCCAGGATGGCTTCGCAGGTCGCATGAAACTACGTCACGGGCTGCATCCGGCCCCCAGGCCTTGTGTTTGACATGTCTGGTCTACAGTGTCCCCTGGAAAACATTTGTACAGTAAATGGATTCAATTTGCATTTTTTTGTACCATAGCTTGCCTGACATAATTCTCTCTCGTGTTCAGCATCTAGACAGGGAGTCCTTGCTTAACAACCGCAACTGGGACCTGTAACTCCATCACTAAGTGCCACGAAACATCACACGACTGCGATGGGCCTACAAGCTCACTTCCCCTTTGGCAGTTAAGCAACGGGACTGCAATTTAGGATTTTACTTCTGCTTTCTGTATTCACTCTGCTTGTCACATGCGTGTATGTCCGTGGGAAGCCGCGACAGTTGTAAATTAGTCTTCCTTTAATCTTTCTTAATTTTAACTCTTTTATAGTCAAAACATACCAAGTATCAAAAAAGACGAGTACCATACACATTTTTCCCATAAGGAATAAGGTAGTGGGTCACAAGGCAGCCGACACCGACAAGTTCTAGCTCAGGGGTAGGCAACCTCGGCTCTTTTATGACTCATGGACTTCAACCCCCAGAATTCCTGAGTCAGCTATTCTGACTCAGGAATTCTGGGAGTTGAGGTCCATGAGTCATAAAAGAGCCGAGGTTGCCTACCCCTGTAGCTTATGCATTGAGTACCAAACAAATGATGAGTACAAATTTCGGGTTAAAATACGTTGAGTACCAAATTAGATGAGTTTCGTGTAAAAACTCATCTGGCCCTAAAAACGTCACTTGGCCATAAAAACCTCCGTGGGTACCCACGTGTGTTTCTGTGGAACGAAAACTGAGTTTTCTCTTGCTAGCCATACCGAAATAAAAGAAGGCCCCTTTGCGCTGGTGCTGGAAGAAATGACCAGAAGCTTTGGCGTGGACATCAGCCTCGTTCTCCACCAGGAGCTTCACAAGATCTAAGTTCCTCTTCTCGATGGCGATGTGGAGGGCTGTGTGGCCTGCAGAGATGGTGAAAAATGGCAGCGGAGAAAGATGGAAGGGTTATCCGGGGGTGTCTGGAAGTTTAGGTCAAAAGAGGCAAGATGGCGGCCGCCATAGGGCCATGTAGAAGAACCAAGAAGATGAAGAAGAATCAAGAGGAAGAAGGAGAACCAAGATGAAGAAGGAAGAGGCGGCAGCCAGAGAGAAGAAGGCAGCAAAAAGAAGGAAGGAAGGAAGGAAGGAAGGAAGGAAGGAAGGAAGGAAGGAAGGAAGGAAGGAAGGAAGGAAGGAAGGAAGGAAGGAAGGAAGGAAGGAAGGAAGGAAGGACTTCCAAACTATCCCAACTGTAGATCGACTTCCATCCACCCCACCCTACAAAGCAGAGTCCTCCACCCTCACCGTCCCAAGAAGGGGCCTTACCTTTGTAGTGGCTGTCAGTG